TTTAGTCAGGGGTACATGATGGGAAAACGGCGTGCGTGCGTGCGTGCGTGCGCATGTGTGTGTGTGTGTGTGTGTGTGTGTGTGTGTGTGTGTGTGTGTGTGTGTGTGTGTGTGTGTGTGTGTGTGTGTGTGTGTGTGTGTGTGTGTGTGTGCATGTGTGTGTGTGTGTGTGTGTGTGTGTGTGTGTGTGTGTGTGTGTGTGTGTGTGTGTGTGTGTGTGTGTGTGTGTGTGTGTGTGTGTGTGTGTGTGTTCGTGTGTCTGTGTGTTCACCCGTCCGCTACGTGTATGGTTAAGTTTTCGTCAGTGCACAGAAACCACACACAGCCAGCATTGTTGACCGCTCAATTATACCTGGAGCACTGGTTGTGAGGCTTCTCCCCAATGTGCGTAACAGCTACTGCTGCTACACAAAGATTATATGATGAGTTAAGTCAACGCTTCTTCCTGAAATTACGCGTCAGTATACTTTAAGAAGCTATCATCGCCGTCACGTCAGTTAACATTACGCACGACTCATAGGCGCATTCATATTCAAATGCTAGAAATTACCTAACACCGATTGTGCATTTCCATTTCCTTTTTTATTTTCGGCATTTCTTTCAACCCGCTGCCCGTGGGGCAAAAAGCAAAGCATAGCAGTCTTAACGAGATCTCGTCGGTTCTAGGTTAGTGTTCAGTGGACTAATTGGTGCTAATTTTGTCTTACTCGGTGCTACTTACGGCCTTACCCGGTGTTGACCACCCGGTGCTAGCGGTGTGAAAGGCCGGGTAATGGTAGGCGCTGGTATGCTCGCAGAGCAGAACTCATCATGATCTGCTGCATGTTATGAAACGTGAATGCGCTTCATTTGCCTACACCCACCGTATTTGTGGATTACATTTAAAGTATGCATGCCTTACAACTTCTTGTACTGACCCGTCTCACTACCATCACTCAGTGTTTTGGCCTCTACAACGGACTTCAGATGGCCCCTAATTTTTTTTCCGGAATAATCTCTGAACCGTTTTCACTACGGTGCTTAAATTTTGGGTAGCTCAATTTACATCGCATTTACATATGTAAAAGTTGAAAGTTTCCGATCTTAACGGTTTTTGGGCTCAGATCCTTTTCCCGAGATCATGCAGTGACATTTGGACACAAAATGATCACTGTAATCGACGCACCCGAAAGCACCAATAAACAACGAAAATGTCCTCGACATTTAGCTAAAAATCAACAAATGGCGCTGATTTCACGCAGAAAATGTGATTTAAAGAGGTTTTCTAGATGACTTTTCTAACATTGATCACTGAATGGCACTCCTTTAGTACAGTTTTCTTGTGCACCCCCCTGACCTGACGTGACATATTACAGGTTACGCCTGTCGATGTTCATTGGTGTCCATCTGTTGGAGGCTCCTGATAGCTATGTAACGCCATCTTCCGCATTGTCGAAGTATGGTTAGCTTCTGAGATGACACCAGGGATCTGTTAAGTCATAATTTGATCCCCATAACCTGATTTCACCTGTCGAAGGTCACTTCACCATTGTCCAGTCACACCGATCTGATACAGTTTCACGGTCGATTTCCAATTCCGTTTTCCCGTGGTTTTCTTAGGTTTTAGCCTAGGCTCCAATGTGTAAAAGAAGGTCCTCCTAGAAGGTTTTCATTTGATCTTCACCACGTAAGGTGAAGGTCGAAGAAGCTCCCGAAGCGCGAGGGTTACATTTACCCGTTGTGGGTTTCGGTATGGCCTAACCAGTGCGCTAATTTCGCAACGGCTGTGCTGTTGGTGTTTGACTGTTAGTGGTGCTCCTGATCGAACCGCCTGCCACGCCTTCCAGCCTGACCCTTGGGCTGCGACCAGACCCACGCACTCCTTATTCGTGATCAGTGTCAATCACCCGTTAGTTACCCGTTTGATTTTTTTTAGCACTAGCGTGCTGAATTACGAAAGATTTTCAGATTTTACACCCGAACTTACCCATACGTGGACGATTGCGACGTTAGTGTGAATGGAAATAGATATAGAAAAAGCACCTGGAGTACTGCCGCCCGAAAGTAAAAAGGCCTTTACAACACTTTCAAAAATGGTGATTTACATCGTTCGATGCAGCTCAAGGAGCAGCACCTTGCGTTGTGAAGCAAAACATGCGAGGAAAATGTTTTCAAAACATAACAAAGTTTCTTTTTCAAAAAATCTAATTCGCCGAAACGTTAAAAAAAATCTGAACAATTTACCAAATGGCGCTCAGAAGTTTTTGCCTTTGGGCAGCAGAGGAAAAATTCGTGGCATTTCTTGGCAGCGTTTATTTGTTTATCGGTGTTTTGTTTTGCGCTTTTTGAGGTAGTGTCTCACTGAAATTTCGAAAGGGTCCCACCGATGCCCGCATTAGTTCATGCCAGTAGTCTTTCCAGTATCTGGTCCCAAACCAGCGCGTTATCCATTACTTACTGGTACTCGAGGGCTTACCAACCCGGGAAGGTTCATGCCTGCCAGATGGAGACTCCTGGTGTCGCTGAGAGGTACAGTCCATACCGGTGAGGTTTTCCGGTCAGGAGCAAGCAGTTGGAGCTTGGGGCCGATCCTGTCCGCCTGGGAGGCGTACACCGTCGCTCGCGTCGAAGAGGAGCATGTATACCAGCCACAGAAAGTGGCCTGCGCTCCGGTCTCTGGCGCAGTGGTAGCCTGCCTCGGTGATGAGCCACGAGAGCGTCACCGAAGCAAGGCACTGGCGAGGCAAGATCGAGGCGAGGCACCGCCTGCGATCCGGCTGACGCGGTGTCCGGACACCGGTGATGTATGTTCAGAGCCGGAGAGCGTGAAGGGCTAGTGGAGGCGGCCACACCTATAACTCTCGGTACGCATTTAAGTGACAAAGCTGCTCTGGTCAATACGATTTCTCTGTTTAGTAAATATTCTCTTCATGACGTCCATTGTTTGATGACGTCATCGTATCTTGCACTACATTCATTGGGAGCCAATTCACGGCCGTTATGTCTGGAAATCGTGCTCACGAACGCCAGGTATGAACGACCAGACAACGATATTTTTCTTGGCCTTGATCGCCGCGTGGCTAACGAGATGACAGGATTTGAATGGTGTTATTATGGCATCATGGATACCTTGGTACCTTGAAAAAGCGTCCCCGAGATGGTCTGCTCATCTTCGCGGGCGGGTAGCGTAGAAACTAGACAGGTGAAGATCATGAGTAGGGAAGGGCTGTGAACTGCACCGAATAATCTTCACGATGGCTATTTCAGTTTAAAACCCTATACAAATGTGAAACACCTCCGTGAAATATGTAATATGGCCTTAAATCACCTCATAATACCAACGGGTTTTTTATTATGGGCATCAAAGTCGACATCCGTTGAATTACTGTGGGTATGCAGTATGGCCGGAAAATCCCCGGAAACACTCGTGGGGCGTGTGACACCGCCCCAAAACTCTAGTAACGGCGTCAAAATGACACCCATAGGGCGTTTTAATGGTGTCATATGGTCAACAAGATTCTCTCAGAATCCTCATCGGGTGAAGTCATGCCGTCCACCGCCGTTATGGGTGTCAAAGTGTGCACCCCACGGAAATTCGTGGGTATGCGGCTTGACAAAACACCTTAATGAGGGTACCCTTTTCTCTCAGTGTAGCATGCAAACATAGATAAGGTTAGACCAGGTAAAGTCACTGCCAGAATTAAATGAGGTGCTGGGTACACGCTACACCCGTACCTTTTTTCTGTCTTGTCATATGTTTTTTACACTCCTGTGTTGTGTTTCTGCACCAGTTTTGACATTTATGTAGACGTTCCTAAACGTTTCTCACCATGTGATACCCAAACCTTCAGCCAGTGGTCTTACATAAGACCCGCTCACATTTGTTTTCTTAGAGCATACAATTCTGATGATTTTTGCATCATCTTTTAGCAGACTCACTATCCAGCTGTTCGATCATTTCCCCACCAAGCCTTACTCACATGATTCCGCCCCCTTCCTTGTGGTTGGGTATAAAATGGCGTTTTCAACATCACCATGATTGCATGGCGAAACTGAATTTGCGTACATTATGCTGCTACAATATAGGCATGTTGCAGCAGCATGATGGGAAAATACTTATGCAATATCAATATAACTATGCATATGCACACAGTTGTACATGTCTCTGCACCTATCAATATATGGTATGCCTATGCAGCTGACCATAGGTGCATGCAAGACCTTCTTTACACAGCTAAGGGCCACAGACTCATGAACTACCGAAAATAACTAAATGTCATTAATACGAAGAAAACGTATTTTGTATTAAAAGGATGTACATAAGAATGAAGGCTTTTAATATTTGAAAGGATGCAGGTAAACAGATAGCACAAACTTATTCAATTGAATGAGTAGCTTGTGGAGGACAGGTTACCTGCTGCCTGTTACCTGTGCACATCCTGCAAACACGCTCATAAGTAAAATAAATCGACAAACCCTCACGGGCCTTAAACAGAGCTGTTTTGGCTCAGAATATTATGACAGGCATCCACGTCATTTACGGCTGAAAAGATTGTTCTTAAATTGCGTAACTTTGAGGCTGCTTGACAGCCATTCCGGTTTACGAACCGATTTTGTTGTCGGGCTTTGACTTTAAGACGAGACCAGCTGCCTGCTTCTACTCACAGCCACTTTTTAGTTCCTTTATATCCCTAATTAAATAATTCGTAAAGCTCATTAGCGGCTCGTCCACAGCCACGGATACTTGAAGTGCATAGAATAGCTGGTAATAAGGCATTGTCAATGGCATTATTCTGGCGTTTGACACACACCAATCAGAGCCGGCCATTACCCGGCTTTTACAGGCGACAGCGACGCAGCCGACCAATGGCGGCCGCGCGGCGACTATCATGGCCGCTGGGCTGGCGGCCGGCGCACCGGGGGCGGAGCCAGCGTGGTACGATTTCCGGCCACGGCGTGGCGCTGGCGACGGGCGCGACCGCTGCAGACGACGCCAGGATCCCGGCGTGGAAGGTGCTCGGGCCATGGGCCGTAGCAGTGCGTGAGCGTGCGCGGTGAGGGCGGCGCGGCGGCCGCGGCAGCCGGCGGTGGCCCGCGTATGGTGTGCTGTAGCATGATGCCCGTAGCGACCGCCCCGGGCGTGCCGGCGCAACGGCCCAAGATGGGCTTCTCGATCGACTCGCTGGTGGGAGACAGTGCGGACAAGGCGAGCACGCCGGCGCCGCAGCCGAGCCGGGTGCCGCGGGCGGCGGCCGAGCCGGTGAGGCCGGCGCGCAGCCCCGAGCTACGCTGCAAGGAGCGCTCGCCGCCGCGCGAGCCGGCGCCAGAGCCGGCCGCCGACACGGACATGCTGCAGCAGCGGCTGGCGCACGAGCGTGCGCTACACGAGCGGCTGCTGGCGCACGGGCTGGGCGGCGGCGGCGGCGGCGCAGCCGGCCTGCCGTTCGGCCCTCTGACGCCGCTGCGTCTGCCGCTGGCCGATCCGCGCTGTCTGAAGCTGGCGCAGCTACGCGGCGAGCTGGCGCTGGCGCGGCCAGCCGGCCTGCACACGCTGCACGGACTGGCGCCCCCGGTGCCGGCGGCGCCCTCCGAGATGCCGCTCTACCCCTGGCTCATGTCGCGTCACGGCCGCGTGTTCCCCGGCCGATACGCGCCAGGTGAGACCCGCACCGGACCGGCCGCTCCCCGGCGGCAGGCCCCCGCCCCGCAGTCCCCCGCCGCTCTTGCCGGCCGGGCTGTGGTACGGGCTCACCACGCACCGCGCCTCAGGGCGGCGGGCCGTGCTACCTGCGACATGAAACTTGCAGAGCATTCCTGCCGCCGGTGTGGCACATGTGCGGACGACTTCCTGCGGTCGCTTACGGCAATAGCTGCGATGCATTCCGTTCCCAGAGCGACACATTGCGGCGGGCGCCGAGCATGCGTTACGGCGCTTAGCGACGCCAAGGTCATGCGAGCGCCGGAGGGATCACCCATTACCACCGCACCGTAGCCACCACAGCTGAGTTGGTCTGTCACCACGTGAACAGCTGGCATCAGTGAGCGCCGCGGTCGCGCCAGCCGCCATGCGGATAGGGTCACCGGCTGGAGGCCGAGCCACCGGCGCCAGTTACGCGCCTCCGACGCGCAGAAGTCCCTGTCTGTAGCGAGATCCAGCTGGTGCGCCAGGCCACGGCATGTTCTTACGCACATGACCACTTCACCCTGCTACTGCTGGAGCCGAGGGAGGTGATCACCTCACGCGGCGACTGTGTGGGTGTGTTTTCTCGACCGGGGCAGTGGCGCGTGACGCATGCAACTGTGCTATTGTACACATCCAAGGAGCTCGCTAGAGATCGGGAATAACGGCCTCAGTCCCAATCAACAGCCCCAGCACTCTGCGACCGGCTGCAGGCGTGTGCTTTAGTAGCGCAGAAAACCGAACATTCTTTATTAGTCCATAGACTGCTTGCGTCGTGACCGCATTGTGGCAAAAGCTGCTTATCTGAGCCACAGCGTGCACTGCTATAGATGGGGTCCGTTATTGTTCGAGCTGAACTAGCGGCTGTGCTCTTTGTCATTGTTTCTCTGAACTTGCCGACTGTTCCACCAGTCGCTGAGGGAGGTGGTCACGGGCCCGCTACTCCACCAGTCGCTGAGGGAGGTGGCCACCTCCCACTGCTCCACCAGTCGCCATGGGAAGTGGTCACTGGCCCGCAGCTCCACCAGTCGCTGAGGGAGGTGGTCACGGGCCCACTGCTCCACCAGTCGCTGAGGGAGGTGATCACGGGCCCACTACTCTACCAGTCGCAGCGCGAGGTGGCCACCTCCCACTGCTCCACCAGTCGCTGAGGGAGGTGGTCACGGGCCCGCTGTTCCACCAGCCGCTGAGGGAGGTGGTCACGGGCCCGCTGTTCCACCAGTCGCCATGGGAGGTGGTCACGGGCCCGCTGCTTCACCAGTCGCTGAGGGAGGTGGTCACTGGCCCGCTGTTCCACCAGTCGCCGCGGAAGGTGGTCACGGGCCCCGCTGTTCCACCAGTCGCCGTGTGAGGTGGCCATCTCTCACTACTCCACCAGTCGCCGCGGAAGGTGGCCATGGGCCCACTGCTCGACCAGTCGCTGAGGGAGGTGGTAACAGGCCCGCTGTTCCACCAGTCGCCATGTGAGGTGGCCACCTCCCGCTGTTCCACCAGTCGCCGTGGTAGGTGGTCCCAGGCCCCGCTGTTCCACCAGTCGCCGTGTGAGGTGGCCACCTCTCACTGCTCCACCAGTCGCCCCGGGAGGTGGTCATGGGCCCGCTGCCCATTAGCCAATGTCCGCCGATTCACAGCTTAGGGTAAGCCGCTCATTGGCCATCTGATCTGCCTGAGTTACATTGCCGATGCCCATTACTTGCCTCACCTAGGATGAAGCATGTTGGACGATCTGTAATTATATCTACAAAACCGATCGGTAGCCAAGCACGTTGATGACATTAAAGCAATATATACCCTCTCTTCACGATAGGCTGCCAGATGGTGTTCCAGAAACAGTCTGTGGCTAACAACAGCTTTGCAAGATTTGACTTAATCTGCTTGCAACTGGCAAGTGACGTATAAATTTCAGCTGCTCCTGGGCCGGAGTATTTTTGTCAATGAAGGACGAGTGGCCGGCAACTCGCTTCAGTCCGTGCCGACGCGGCGCTGGCGCCGATCCCGTCCCACGTGCTGAGGCGGCCGTGCCTGACGCCCCTGATTTCTGCACCACCGTTCGCCTCCAAGCCTAATGCAGCCATCCGCACCCTCAATCGTTCATCGGAAGCTGACCATCTGCCTGCAGCGTGCCGAATATAAATGAGGGCTGACCAGTGCATCCGTGCCTTTGATAAGCGATAGCCGGGTGGCAGGGACTGCTCTCATCCGAACAGTGGGTGCAGCGATTTTCTGGGTTAGATATGTCTGATGCGCACCATTGGCCTAACGCTGGTTTTTCCCTAAAAAAGGTTTCCTTTACCACCCCGACTCCGACAGCCCGTCGAGAACAGCGATGAGGGCTATGGGGATGAGGGGCGGGGGGGGGGGGGGGGGCTCGACGCCTTGTGCAGATAATTTTGGATGTAGTTTTTTAGGTTCATGTCAGCTGGAGGCCCTTGGTCATTAGTTAAGGTGATCATTGCCGATAAACGTAAACATATAAGCCGAAGGCTCCAATCGTAAGTGGTCAAAGCAAGAGCGTGCTCTTCAAACCACCAAATGCAAGAAGATACATAACCAGCACGCCTTTCTTCACCCAATGAGAAGCTCTGAAGCTTCAAAATGACCAATTGGCCTGAACCATGAAGTAACCCTTGTCATGTGGCGACCGAGATGGGTCGGGACCCTGATCCTCTGATGGATCCTCTGATCGCTCGCAGTGGGCCGCCTAACCGCCCTGTGCTATCCGCCTGACCGTCCAATGTTATCCGCCAAACCGCCCCGTGCTATCCGCCTGACCACCCTGTGCTATCCGCCAAACCACCCTGTGCTATCCGCCTGACCGCCCTGTACTATTCGTCTAACCGCCCCATGCTATCCGCCCAACCGCCCCGTGCTGTCCACCTAACCGCCCTGTGCTATCCGCCTAATCACCCTGTGCTAGCCGCCTGACCACCCTGTGCTATCCGCCTAGCCGTCCTGTGCTATCCGCCTGACCGCCTTGTGCTATCCGCCCAACCGTCCTGTGCTATCCGCCTGACCACCCTATGCTATCCGCCTAACCGCCCTGTGCTATCTGCCTAACCGCCCTGTGCTATCCACCCAAATGGCGCTCACTTGAAGCGAGCTGTTCTGGATAGTGGAGGAAGATCCTGGAGGAATGGGGGAGGGGGAGAAAGGAGGGAAGGAAGGGGGACTGCACAATATATTTGTCACCAAGGCATCTTAAACCTTGTACGGGGCTCCATACAGGATTTCGTTGGAGGGGGACAAGCAAAACTCTGTCACTGAACAACCGATGTAGGGTGTCGTGGGCCCGCGGAATTTATTACCTGTCCACCTCAAATGTATAGTTATGAGCATTTTTACGGACAAAAGCTTTATTCACATGCCGGTTTTGATGCTCCCGCGTATTGAATCACGGGTAAGCAACTGGCTGTCAATTCATTTCGGTCTGTCAATGGCCCATCGAGTCACTATTTCATATCGCACACAGCGTCCAGGTAAAAATGTATCCCTTCGATTCACCGTTACGTGCACCGGCCACGAACGTCCGCGGGACGTCATCAAACAAACCAAGTCCGGATCCATGATTTCTGTTGCAGAATTTGAAGTGTTTTGTTGTAAAATGGACAATTTTGGGGGCTTAGGATGCTCTTGACGCATGCTTTCATGCCAACATTAATGCATGGCAGTTTGATATGCATGGATTCATATCTTAAAAATTCACACATATTGTTCCTGACGAGGAACGTGCCCAGTGCATCCCGCCCTGCAACGAGCCACTGGTTTTGTGTCCAGTTTTCTTTCAGTCGGACTCTCGATTACTTAACTGGATCACGGACGTTCACGGGGACAACGAGCGTCTGGTATTTACAAACCATCTTTTCCAGTGCGTCGTCAAACGGTCCCATGTAAATATGTCGTATCCCTGCATTTTAAGTGGCTTGTAACCTGTAGCTGCACCGTAAAACTCGTTTATAAGACTATAGATGCCTTTTCACTTGATACCGTAATTCACCGCATCGATCAGGATGACAGTGCCGAGGACATGTTGACACATGACACCAAACACGTGACACTGACAGCCAGGGCTATGCGTCTATCTCTGCGGGAATTTTGGGCCGTGGTGTTTTTTGTCATCCTCACGGAGGATCTGGCATCAGTTCACGTATTATGCCTCCTCTCTCTCTCACACACATGCATACAAATCGACCATTGAGGATATGAGTGCGCAGCTGCCATATCTTGGATTTGAAATACTCGCACCTGCCCCACACCAAAATTAGAAAGCCTACACCCAGGCAGGTAAGATAGATGTCCTCAGAAGTCTGCATGGGCCTGCCAACCTTATTTTTCACTGTTTGTATGCATACCCAGCCTGATTTAATTGTTAGTACCAAAACAAGAAGCTGTAAGAAACCTTGAGTTATATGCGTCCCTTCTTTTTTGTTTTTGCCATGCCTTTCATCAAGATATCTTATATTAATCCCAGGTATACATACTAAGCCTGACCATAATATGAGGGTTGGCGCAGGAATCTCCGAATCTATCAACATTGTCACTACATTTCTTTTTTATAGACTAACACCGAGTGAACCTGTTGGAGTTCACCAATTCAAGGTTTGTAACTGTGGCTCACTTGAAAGAGACTGCTGAAGAACCGACACATGCAGTTCCCTTGGTCCTGGGCATAAATTCTCTTTTCCCAAGACAAACTCCTCTTCGTCCTTCAGAAGGCCCTTCAAAAGGAACCAACAATCTATATCTTGAAAGGCAAGAAATCAAGAAGCTCCAACCAGCCTGAGGATGCAAAAACTAAGGCTGACTATACAATTACCTGGGCTCATATGATGACTTCAGCCCTCGACGTGCATATGCATGTCTCGTGCAACCAAAATTTGGCCATCCAAAGCCCCCAGGGAGAATATACTTCAAACTAGCTAAGTTGCCAGTTTCGCATGGAAACGCCAGCGCATGAAATTAAAAATCACATAGACACAT